ACCCAAGGCGCACGCCAGAATGACAGGAACCTGTGGCCTGAGCCCCAGTGCTTACACAAAGCAATATAAGCCCATCAATCAAGGCACATCTTAATTTGGGTCACGCCCTTAGAAAGAGAGAAGAGGTGCCTCCTATAACCAACTCCCGGGGTGACCTCCCAGACACCCAGAGGTGCCTTTAGAACAGCTGCACTGTGTATTAATGGCTGGCTTATTGTCAGTCTTCTCTAAATCGTGAGCCCCTGTTGGAAATAGTACTTAAGGCACCTCTTGAATTTAATTTAAAAGATTTTTACTAAAATAGAAAAAAAGTTCTAAAGTTAAATGCCAAGAGAACTAACTCTAGGCTAAGAAGGGGGGAAAAACCAACATTGTTCAAGTATGGAGTCAAAAAGGCATAATTATTACGACCTGACTTAAAATGTCAGCCACAAGCAGGGAAGGAGGCCGCTATGGCCTAAGATGCGCCTTACGAGGCCTCCAGGGAAAGAGCTGCCGACACCGAGCTCTCACACTACAGCGTGGCCAGCACGCAGCAGGGTTCCTCGGCCTGTAGAACGTCACTGTGGGACGTCACGCATCCACTCCGTATAGAAGTGAATTCAGATCTAAAACACATGATGACCACTTCCGGAGGGGTCTCTGCTCTCCAGAAAGCTCTGCAGTCCAACCCATCACCGTGGCCTAGAGCGGTCACAGCAGAAAGGACTGCAGGGCTCTGGCACCTATGTCACTAAGCCCGGCACAGATGGGTGGGCTGGGGGGCTGATGACCAACAGTGCCATCGCCAAGATCTTGGCATCACTGAGTGAACACAACACCAGACCGTTCATCAGATGGCGCACGTGTCTGAAAAGACACTGGACAACTTCACCGCCTATGATAAAGAATCTCACTTGCTTGGATCTCACACAGCTAATGCCAGATCCTCCGTACAAAAGTGCAGCTTTGGCAACGTATAGACCAAGGACCTGATGAACTTAAGTGGATGTAAATGCAGTGTGGTTCAGATGTGAGCGCCACAAAGCCGGCAGGTGGACTGGCGATTCCCAAAGGAGGTCTGAGCCTGTACCATCGTTGCACCTGGGAACTTATTACCAATACAAATTGCTGCTCCCCCCCACCAAAAAAAAAAACCCATCTATTAATTAGAAACTCTCGGGACAGAGCCCTTCATTCTGCTCCACACTGAGGTTGAGACCCGCTGTTCTAGCTCAGTGACCTCATTCACCGAATTTCTGAACTGAAGTTGCTTCGCTTACCTCCTCCCTGATGCAAGGGGTATGTGCATCATCTTGGCTTTCTCTATCATCCATCATTACCTTGTTTGTTGCCTGTTTGAATCTACAGTTTCCTTCAGACTTGTAGTCGAAGGGCCAAAGTAAATGTAGGTGTGTCCGGGTGGAGGTGAGAGGGGCTAGTTTCTATTTTATTTTTAGGGATAAGCTAGCTAATTAAGTCTTCTGTGGTTCCTGGAGCAATCAAACTTTTCAGAGAACTTTCAAGTGAACAAAGAAAATTCAGTTAATAGGCATGAACATAAGGGAACCAACTTACTAAAATTAAAGTCCTGGAGAGGTCACAGCATGTAACCAGATTTAGGAGGATTAAACGCATTACTGTGCTTCTTTTCTCCAACTATCCATGTTATTTTCCATATTAATGTTTCTTCTCCATAGTTATGCAGGGAAGATAGACTTGACACATGCAAATGCCAGAGTCAACTTAACCCCTGAGAGGGGCTTTGACGGCAGAGGTTGCAATCTGGTGCCCAGGCGCAGGGCTAGGCAGCAGGCATGTCTTGTTTGACTCATATGCAATTTGGTTTGTTTGTTTAATACTTGCCAACATTTTCCAGTTGGGAGATGTCACAGTAAAATCTAGAATGCTGGCTTCCCTTGGACCTCCATTCAACATGACAACTATGGCAGGAGCCCTGAAGCAGCTGCTCTGTGAAACGACCAGACTCTGGGTTCCTGAGACCCCCCCCCACCTCGCTCCACTCACACCGGTGACTCCGAGTTCTGCTCCGTCTCCAATCCAAAGGGTTTCCAGATTGGAGAAGGTGTCGTGTTTCCCTTAAAAAGAAAGCTTCAGGCCTATCCAGGCAACCATTCTGGAGTGACCCATCTTTTGTGTGACTCTCTGTTCTCACCCCCCTCTCTTCAAGGAATTTCTAGGCAATAATTATCGGATATATTCAAACACATATTCCTAAATATCTTAAAAGACTGTCTCCTTGACTCTGAGTAGAAAATCATTCCTTAGAGCCTCTCTGGTGACTATCACTACCACTGCTACAGCCTGAGTTCAATTCCTGGCCAGGGAGCTGACCCACATGGCGTGGCAGACCTCTCCTGACCACCCGCTGCTCCCCTCAGTATTGTACTTCATTGATCTGCCTGTTCTGCTCCCCACTCTGTCTGGTGAATCCACTCACCCTCTGCACCTCTGGTCTACATCCCATTTCTACACACACACACAATATTCATTCTTTAATTAACAACAACTTTTAAAAGTAATGACCCATGTGACAAGGAAAGAAGAAACTGTGATATGAAGGGGGCCATTTTATGTAAAAAAATATTTAAATGTTACTAACACTTTGCTATGAAAGCTATGAGTATTTTATGTTTCCGGACAACTTCATCACAATAATAGATTTTTTTCTGAGCAACTCCGTATAAAAGCACTACACCCTATTTTTATTTCATATATCTACCTTAGTAATAAAGACAACTCAGCCAGATCGTAATCGTGCAAGAAAATCATAATATTCAAAGACTTGGAATTTGATCTCCATCTCTCTCTTTATACTCAAAGGCCAGTGCTGACAACAGTGACATGCCTCGTGGTGTGTCAACGGCTCTGGTTGGGAGCGCTCAGTGCTCCTGCTCAGTGCGCGGCTGCCCCCAGCAGCCAGGGCACCTGATGGTCATCGCCCCGCCCAGGGCATAGGGGCCACGGCCGCTGCGACCCTCAGCTCTACCTGAACCCGTTGCCTTGGCATCCAGTCCCAAGAACAGAACTGTTGGCTTATTATTCTCCAACGCCGCCCACGCTCTGCCTTCGAGACATTTAAGGGCAGACAGTTGAGAAATGAAGAGATTGGAGGGCCAGGGAGGGCCAGAGTCAGGGAGGCCCCCACATCCCAGCTGCTGGTGCTGTTTCCTACAGCCCAGATGGCTCTCGCTGAGCGGCGAGCGCTAGGAAGTCAGTGGACACTGCTGCTTCTTCCCTGGCAGCTTCTGCTCAGAGCAGGGGGCACTGTCTCCACAGCCCCTTCAGCACTGGGAACTTCCTCCAGCAATTCTCGTCTGCCATGAATGACACGGGCTTGAGCACAGAGGCGCTGTGAGCAGTGCCAGCCACAGTTTACGCTGATATTGCTGTGGCTGCCTGGAATCCCAGATCTGAGTACTGTACGGCGTTCACCCACAAGCTATTCCAGGGAAGGATGCCACTCTTCAGGGAGAGCTCTCTGGGGCAGCCCAATCAACTTCAGGGCCCCTCTGATTCCTTGGGTTCTCTTTCTCTTAGCTGCCAGCAGCCCTTCTGACCTCTTCCAAACAACAGCTTACAATGCAGAATTCAGCCCAAGCAAAGCCTTCACCAGCAGTCTGGTGACCTCACTTTAAATAGCGGTCTAGCATCTACTGATTGAAATGAAGAGCAGGGATTTACACACAGAGGCCTCAATTTAAAATTTCAGAAAGAACCCACTTAGACTTGGATGTGACAAAGACCTCCATGAAATATCTGTGCATTTTCTACAATGAACAAAGATTGTTTTCTAAACAACAGGGAAAGCATGCAATAAAATCTCAATCGATTCAGGAGGTCCCTGCAGAGGGCATGTGACCTGCCCTGGGGACGGTGGAGCCATCTACCTGGAGATATTTCCTGTTTGCAAGTGATATCTCAGCTTAAAGTAAAAAAAAAAAAAAAATTAAAGACTAAATTGCAGTTTATAAAATGATAAAGAAAAGTTGTTGCCTTGACTCAAGGATGCTGGCAACAGCACAAAGTATCCTTAGTATAAATAGGGTGCCCCCCCAGCCGAAAGTATGGGGTTCCTACAAAACTTCAAGGCCAAGATGGCATAAAGCAAAGAAACAATCACAGTCTTGACTACACATACACAGCTCTTACAGGCAAAGAACAGGGTCTAAAAGCTGGAGCTTTTAGTAAGGAAAGTGGCAGAGCCTTTGACAGAAATAACACACATGACAGCCACAGGACAGAGAGTTCTGATTAGTGAATCTTTTCTTGCCTCCAAGATTGAGTAGTGGGTAGAATCAGAATTGGGATGATACCTGCTGGGTCTACCCTTTCTCAACTGTCTGCCCTTAAATATCTGCCTTCATAATAAAGACAATTCAGCCAGATCGTAATCGTGCAAGAGAATCATAATATTCAAAGACTTGGAATTTGATCTCCATCTCTCTCTTTATATTTAAAGGCCAGTGCTGAGAACAGTGACATGCCCCATGAAGGGCCAGGTCTAGGAAAGTAGGTGATTCGTAGGCAGGCTATTTTTTGCCTCTAAAAGGTGACTGTGGTATGTGTGCAAACGCATGAGAATCGTACTCTCTTACACTCGCTCGCCCTAAGTTCCTGAGTTACTCCCACAGACCTCCCCAGAAGGCCCTTCTGATGGGCACCTCCTCCAGCCAGCTTGCACCCCCTCATCTGGTCAACCTCCAGCCAGTCTCATCAACTCATATGCAACCTCCAATGCGCCTTCCTGGAAAAGCCCAGCTCTGTGTATACCCGACTTTGCATGCTCTCCGGAACCTATCTCCGGGGTTCGGTGAAGGGCCACACTGGCGAGTTCCCGTAACAATGACACCGACGGAAGCCATGAAGGGCTTACCACCTGCCAGTCACGGTGCTCAGTTTAATCACATATCTCGTTTAATCCTCCCAGCAGCTCCATTACCAGCCCCGCGTGACATTATTTCTACTGCAGCAGGATGCTAAGAATAGATATGACGTACCTTCTCCAAGTCACACAGCTCCAGAGTAGGGTGACTTGCATCCTGGTGATTCTAGCTGCAGCTCCCCGGCCCCTCACACCACCGAGTGGATTCCGCATTCTCCTCTCCTTGACTGTGCACCATCCTGCGGTGCTGTTCCCCCGACACCACTGCTCTTCCAAATCTTCATTCTCCTCAGATTCCCCACCTCAAGTTGAGGGCCTCGGCTCCTCCTACAGGAAAAACAAAAGCTTTCATGGAAGAGCTGCATCTGCTTCCCACAGCGATCCTGGACAACAGCACGCCGTCTTAACCCTTCTTGCCAAGGCGCGCTTCTCCCCTTTGCCTGAATCCCACTCTACCAGCTCCTCCAAGTCTTTAATGCTTCACCAGCAACTGCAGTTAAGCAGACTCTCCGATTCTGCCCTGGAACAAAGTTAATCCTCCCCTCACTACCTTCACTACCTGGGACACACGTTCAGAAGACTCTCCTCAAGTGACAGGGTACATCGAGCCCCTCCGCTCCCCAATACCCCCACCCCCATCATCACATATATTCCCTGCACCTCCCGGGCCTCTGCTAGACACAAACTACCCATGTAGACAGGGAATCCACCCCTGCATTCTTCCCAGACCTGGCACAGTGCTTGGCACAGAGCCCACACCCTGGGGTTCATTTTGGGTGAATAAATGGTTGATTCATGGAAGCAAGGACATGTAATGTGATAGAGCAGTTTAAAGTTGGCAGAGCACACACTTAATGAAATATTAAAAGTCATTAAAATTTGAGCAAAAGGATGAAATGATACAATCTGAGTGTTTTGCTTTTTGTTTTAGAAGATTCATTTTGTCATGTCTTTGGAATAAAATGAAGTGCAGAGGCTCAAGCACTGAGACCAATTACAGCAGTAATACAAGCATAAAGTGACAAATGCCTCATCTAGGGTCACAATAGTGGAAATGAAATCATAATTTGGAAAAAAATCAAGACATCTTGATGAGTCCATTATGTGGGCAGAACACACCAGGATGAGTCAAAATTATTCCATCTATTTTTGGATTCCAGAGTCTGGGCATAAGTGACTGCCGAGTGTAAGGTGACCTGCCCATTACCTGGTGTCCTTGCCACCTGCTTAACATCATTTAGCTTGTTTTAATTTAAAATAAATATATGCCTGGAGTACCGTTGGTGCCAACTGCACAAATGAGTTCACATGCCTCTTTTATTGCCTCAGACCTCTTCTTGGGACACAGGAATTATGCAACTGCACATACATATATGTGCCTTACATATGTGCACAAACATGGCGATATGATTATTCACGCATTCCTGTTTCCTTTGTCTTCCTTTTCAAGCTATAGAAATCATAATAACCACTTAGAATGAAATCTTCCCCTTGGATTTCTCCAGCCAAATGTTAATTTCCTACTACCGATCCTTGCTCCAAACCTTTTTCTACCTTAGATTTACTATCCTCTGACTATTCTTCACCAAGAAACAAAAAAGGATAACAAGCAAGCAAACCTCCAATTATAAAATAAATAAGTCATGTTGCTATAATGCACAGCATGGTATCTGCAGTCAATACTGTATTTATTGCATAGTGCAAACTCCCTAAGAGAATGGATCTTAACAGTCACAAGAAAAAAAATTGTATCTATATATGGCGATGGATGTTAGAACTTTTGTGATGATCATTTCACACTACACACAAATATTAGATCATTATGTTGTACAGCTAAAACTAACATCTCACATATATAATGACATGTCAGTTATACTTCTATACATTTTCTTAATTTTAAAGAAATGCAAATGGGGAGTAATAAGCCCATGAAAAGGGGCTCAACATTATTAGTCATCAAGGAAAAGTTCATAAAACCACAATGAGATACCATTTAACATCCACTAAGATGAATTTAATAAAAAGATAAGAACAATTGTCAGCAAAGATGTGGGGAAAACAGAAGCCTCAGAGACACTGGAGGGAGAGAAAATGGTGCAGGCCAAGATGGCGACAGGGGAGGAGCGTTGCTTCACTCCCCTTGAGAGAGAAGCATCTGCTATGGAGAGGCGGGAGTCTTGGCTTGGGATGAAACCAGAACAATCCTTGGACCTCAGAGACCAAGCAAACAGCACCGAGGAGCGTCACGCTTTATTTTACAGGAGATAAATGGAGAAAAACACTTACAGGCTGCGGCTGAAAGCGGGAATACGGATGGTGGGGCTGCAGATTCAACCAGGGGCTCGGGGGGGGGTAAGCGCTCAACAGTGTGGAGGAACATGCCCTTGACGAATAGAAAACACATGAGTAGGCGCTGGGGTGCTCCCCACGGGTCAATTCCCCAATAAAAAGTACAGAGCCAGTCCACTGGCTTGCATATCCCCTCCCAAACTCAGGAGGCCGGGCAGACTTCATGAGGGACACTAATGGTGCACAGTTTGGGGCATCGTAGATCCGGAGCCCAGCCAGAGAGCTATTGGAGATGCCCTAAAGGCCAGGCAGAATCCGGCTCCACACATTCCCACCAGCTGCCGGAACACTGTGGGCCCCTCCCTCAGCCCATGAATCAGCAAAAACAGGTCTCATCCTATGGAAATCATCAAGGGCCCAGAAAACAAAATCAAATGAACTTAAAACACAGCGCCACCTACAGGAAAAGTAAAAGTAGTTCAGCTGTCTATGTTGCTGTCACAGATACTTTTTTAAAATAAGGGAAGCTATAGCTGCAGCGACCTAACTGCCCAAGAACAGATGAGTGGACAAAAAAGATGCTATTACGCAGTGGAGTGGTACTCAACTATATAAACAAATAAATGAACCCCTGCCATTTGGGACAACATGGATGGAAAGGGAGACAGGGGAGACATTAATGATGCTAACTGAAAAAAGCCAGTAGAAACGACAGTATCAGACCAGTTCAGTCAGATCTGGAATACAGAAAAACAAAATAGAGGAACGAGAAAACTGGACATCTATGATGTCCATATACAATTGAAGCTATCAGAGGGGAGAAGGGTCAGGGTGAGGAGCAAAGGTGAGAAGGACTTGGGGAGATTTGTCGGTGAGTATGGTAACACACATCTGAGGAAGTGTGAACTTGAACCTGTAAATCATACCAACATTACGGCAACTAAAAAAAATAATACAATTTAGGTCCTCCCTGGTGGCGCAGCGGGTTAAAGCACAACACTAAGAAGCTAAAACCACTTCCGCATGAGTTCGATCCCCGCCTGCCCCCGAGGTGACCCACATGGCGCGGGCAGACCTCCCCTGACCGGCCCGCTGCTCCCCTCAGCAGTGTACTTCGTAGACCTGCCTGTTCTGCTCCCCACTCTGTCTCTGGTGAATCTTCTCCCCGCCCTTGAGCCTCTGGCCTGTGCCCCAGTTCTGTATGCACAAATAAATACATCTTAAAAACAAAAAAAGAAAAGAAAAACAGCCCAAAGACCATGTATTATATGAGTCCTGTTACATAAAACCTCCAGAAAAGACAGAGAAAGTAGGTCAGCGGTCAGGGGATGGAATGGTGGAAGGGACTGATGGTAAAAGAGCAGAGGACTTTGTTGGGGATAATGAACATGTTCTAAAATTGAGGATGGTGATTATTGCGCAACTCTGTGGACCTACGAAAAATCACTGAATTGTCCGCTGTAAGTGAATGGACTCTATGGTGTGTCACTTCTACCTCAGTGAACGTTTTACAAGCAATTGTTGAAGTAAACTTGCAGTGGTACTTGCTGATTTGAAGAAAAAGCGCAAAGGAAAAGAGGGTTACTGTTTCCAGCAGTGGAGGGTGAGACATATTTGTTGCCACGGCATGTTCTTCAAGAAACAAATTGGAAAAGTAATAATCATAGCAATAGTTAAGGTCAGTTTGAATGCTACCAATAATATTTCCTTTTAGCCCTCATTTAGGGTTAACCTTTATTTTTTTCCCAAGGATTAATTTATTCATGCATACAAGAACTAGGATACAGGAGAGAGGTGGGTGTTTGGGATGGGGGGGAGGGGTGTGAAAGGATTCACCAGACAGAGTGGGGAACAGAACAGGCAGATGGACTGGGCGGGACACACACCCCTCTTTCTCTCTCCTATCAAACTTGTGCTGCAATGGCTGTGGATAGCTACACAGTGATGCGCGCCACCAGAGAGGGCCCTTCATGGTTAATCTTGTGGTTTTTTTTTTTAAAGATTCATTTATTTATGCATACAGAATTGGGGTACAAGCCCGAGGTGCATGTGCGGTGAGAGGATTCACCAGAGACAGAGTGGGTAGCAGAACAGGCAGATGAAGGAAGTACACTGCTGAGGGGATCAGCGGGCAGCTCAGGAGAGGTCTGTGGCACCATGTGGGTCACCTCCGGGGCAGGCGGGGATCGAACTCATGCTGAAGCAGCTGCTGTCAGCTTGTAGTGCTGCATCCTAACCCTGTTGTGCCACCAGGGACAACCCCCGTGTTAAATTATCAATTAATTCGAAACATCTCTGTCTATCATTTTGTTAAATTTGGTTCACCTGTTCTTTTACATGGAAAGGAAGCGTGTCAAGGACTAGGGGAAAATGGATGATGTGACCAAAATATGGAAATGAAGTCTCTTTCCTTAGGAGGAAAAAATTAAAGGGAAAGAAACTTCATATTCATCCTTCTCTGAGATCCTTTCCAAATGCTATTTTCTCATATGTAGAGTGTGGTGGAGATTCCTTAACTACGTAGATATCTCTAGGTTTCCCCCAATTCCAAACTGTGATGACTCTGGCCCAGAGCTCCACCATGATAGGTATACAAGAACTGTAGTGAATAAGTAAACATTGGGATTTCTTGATATACAGATGAAATCCACATCGGGGTTTGTAGTTAGAAAACCTTGTCTAAAAATTCAGACCTCTACACTCAGTCTTTTATTATAAATAGGTTAATGTTGGGATAATTCAGTTCTGCACAATTGCTAGTCCTATTTTCTGTAATGTCAGCTAAGAGGCAAGGTGTGCGGTTAAGCTTGAATTTTTTCATCACTATGTGAACAGAAACAATCATAAAAAAAATCCTCTCCAAAATCATCTGATTTCAGCCTAAGTGGGATCATCCATTTCTTCCAAGTATTATTATATTTGTTTTTTGTTGTTAATGGAGAAGGGATTCCGCAAGGAATGTTTCGGGCCAAAGTGATACATTCCTTTTTTCCCCTTGATAAATTTAGACAAATTGGGGAATTCAAAATAGGAGAAGG